CATACTTTTAAGGTTTCTCAAAGTTCTGTTTGAAAAAAAAATCATAAAACACATTTACATCATAACTCGTATTGAAACTAGACAAAAAATACTCGTTTCGTTTCTTTTGTGCTTTAGTACTATATTTTCATTTCAAAAATCAAAATAAGAATTAAGTACACGATGAATTACTATCCATTCTATCAATTCATTCAATTGTTCAATCGCTTTTAAATCAAGACTATGCCAACGAGTGAACAATAAAATCCTGAAGTCTAAAATTCTTCTATGTTTCTAGAATTTTTCTTGAACTCTTCAGGATTCTCTTCAATTCGATAGAAATCTTCAAGATTCTTAGAAAGCTCCTAAGAGCCTATAAAGAGCAGCCATTTGTGTCACTACAGCTTTCCATGTTGGTATCGTGTTTTTCTTTTTATATTCGTTCATGATCATCGACGTATAAATACATTGATTGCTCATTAATTGTGTTGTATTGAGTTGTCATTCTTAGGATAGTCTTATCTTCACTGCAAGTGCAGCAACTGAACCAATTTCTTCGTTAATCTATTAGAAAATTCAGATAGCATTAGTTAGTCATTTATCAGCAATTAAATTGTGACATGCTTTGATATTAATGATCGTCTAATTAGTGATATGGTACTCAGAAATGTTCGAATCATTTGTTTTTCAAAGTTTACCCAGCTCCATAACTCATGACAATCAATTGATTAACGGAGGAATTGTTTTCGTGATTAATAGCCATGATCTTGACTATTTGTGTGAATACTCAATGGTATTATTCATTTTTAATTTGAAACATGAACTTGTTAAATCAGGATCTATTTTATTTTTGGTATATATAATCGAGCAAAATTCCGTTTTGTTGATTGAACACTTTCATCTGTTTCATCATCGGATGCATTATCCCCATCTTGAGTATGGATGTGAGTATGGATCTTTTCTTTATCCATTCACACTTCACATTGATTGTCATGTTCACAAGCATGCTCACATCCAAGCTTATATTCATTTCACTTCAAATAAATGTCATATTTGAAGTCAGCATAAAAAATAAGTTGACTTACGTATGTTTCAAATTGTTTTTGCATCTCTTTCTCTCATCCATTTTTCACCTTTAGACCTTGTGAGGGACGTATGAAGAAATGAATATAATCAGGGCAACTATTTTAATGTTTAGTCACTTGTCCTTTTTTTTTGTTTTCAAATTGCATTTTACAAGTTTAGAGCTTGCTTAACACTGCTACAATGACTTTTCACGTATCTTTGAAGAAGTACCAGAGTGATCATTTGATCAGAAAAGAAAAGTTTAAGCCCCCTCAGAAATCATTTCCCACTTAGAATGGGTCTTTTGAGCTGAAAATTTCAGGGACGAGTGATTCTGGAGAGATACACCCCTGGCAAAAATTTCAGCCTGATTGGCCATACTAGACTGGAGTTTCAGCTGAATCATAGGTCATTTTTGGCCTTCAGGAGAATAGATATAACTTCGTCATAACACAAGTTATCGAGTTCGGACCGGTCTCAAATTAAAGCTAATGTCAGTACGCAACTTTTGTCCGAACAGAATTTTTAAATTCAATCTTATTGATTTTGTATGACCATTTTAGTGGAAGGGTGTAAAAATCAGCATAAAAAATGGTAATCGAACGACAGTAAATTCCACTTTTCTCATCGCAGGAATCGACTTTAAAAACACTGGTCGGATAAAAGTTTACTCTCATTGAGACCTTTAAAACAAAAATATTGGATATGGCTCGAGCCGAACGGGAGTTATTTCAATTTTCCTGCTGAAAACCGTATTTTGAGAAACACGCTAAAGAACATATTATAATGGTATATTATTGATTCACTCCAGTGGACCGTTTTAAAGCACGTAAGAGAAGAAGGTAGCTAACGCCATCTGTCATGCTGGGTAATATAAAAATGTTCTACTCAATGCTAATGCAAGTGGCAACGTTTTTTTTTCAAAACTGAAAACCTTTAAAAACTACGAAAATTTCTCGGAAAATATGGTGGTAGGCTCCAAGTTTCATGTGATAAGTCTTTGAAAATCTGTTCATTTTCCAAAAAGCCATATATATTCTGAAAGAGGAAGCTTCGCTGCATCTTCCTATGATAAAAACTCAGCTTCAATATTTCTTTGAAAAATTGGATTTTCTAAGAGGGGGGGAGACCTTGAAACATATAGAGGTCACCACAGTCTTTTGTGTTGATTCCAAATACAATATGTGTTTGACATTAAATGAGTGTTATTCTAATTGAAAACCGTCAAATATTAATCCACAAGCTTCAACATTGCGTCTAAAGAATAAGAGCCTTATGAGTTTTGTGGCCCATTTCGTTTATGCTCTAAAGAGTGGTTCGTTTTGTAGTACTTGAAAAGCTCTATCAGACTGAAAATTAAAGCAATCGAAGATTTGTATACGATGTAGTAGATTCAAGACATGATTTTAAATGGGCGGTTTTATTATGAAAAACCAGTCTCAACTAAGTTCTATCAGGATAACTTTGGATAATTCTTCATCTTCACTTGTTCTTTCTCTAACGAATACTTACACTCTTGACCAGTACCACTAACTGATGGCTCATTTACTATATCGTGAAGATAGACTCTATCTATACTTATAAATGAATAGGAAATCTCCGGGTTTAAAATCAAAATGATCAGAAGCTTATAATCTTTTATGCCACATATGGCTCAGTTAGCTAGGAACTTTGAAAATCAAAAGAGGTCAAAATGCATCTTTGTGCGCTTGTGTGTTTGCCTTGTCAAGATTAAAAACACGAGATTTCGGATGAAGGAGCTATACAATTGTTATTAAAAATGTTCTATTAATTGTTTACGTACAGTAACAGATTTATCTGAAATAGCAATACATCAAAAGATTTATAACTTCAATATTTGATAGGATTCTCTTGAATTCTAAGATTCTACTATTTATCACTTGTGAGCTAAGGAAACGAACTCTTTCCAGAATACTCATAACTCATTTGATTCTACATAATGAACATAATCTCGGCTCAAAAGCAACAGAGCAATTGGAGAGCTTTGGCCATCAGATTCATGAGACATACATATATATACATAAATGAGTAAATGAAAATAATATTTGATTGCATAATTTTTCGAAAAAATTATCATAATTCATTTAATATTTGTTGACAATCTAAAAGACTCTGTTTCTTAATTACTGAAAATTGGTGATATGTTTCTTAAACAAATGAGTAGAAATTTAACAATTAAAACTTTTTTATCATAATGCATCCAATGTTGTTGAAACGTATACAGTTGTCGATCTAATCTTGATCCATATATTTTCATCTAGCTATGTTCACAGTCAAAATGTATTTAAATTTTCACAATTAGAATTTTTAAACTTTTCAATGTATCAACATTTCGTATATAGGTTCAAATTGAACATAGAATTTTCTCGTTTGACTAGTTTTTTTTTCCAAGTGAATCATAATATTTGATGTTTTGAAAGTAACGGTGATAAGTATGAGGTTATTCATTAGTGAGCACACTGATACTTCGAACATTATGAAATCTTTTATCTAAGACTTGTCTTATTACCAATAATATATGTTGGTGATTGTATCGAATCTTGTGCAGATATAACGAAATGAAAGAAAATTAGTTGATTTATCCGAAAGATTAAGGAATTTATAAATAAAACTCAATAGGTTATAGAAGAACATTCATGAACATTGCTGTTCGTATTTTTTAGAGATGCATTTTTCTCCAGGTAATCGTTTTTGTGAAGCTAATTAATAAAAGTCATGATTTACTAATGTGCACTTTTTTTTGTTTATATATTATAAAGCCTATTATAGCTTGAGTCACATGTGTATGTATAGATAACAGAAAAGGTGTACTCTGTAAGAATGAAAAAAAAAACATTGAATTGTCATGAATCGTTTATCGTGACCCTAATTATTATTTTTGTTATTCAAGCATATTGTTTATATTCATAATAGGCTTAATATTAACTCATAGTTTGATCAATGAAATTAAAATATTTTTTTTGAATGAAAATTACTACAGATAATAAATGATGTATGACTGTTTGTCAAATACTCTAAGAACAACAATGAAACGCAAAACAGAGATTAAAAAATTTTTTGATCTCTTCCCTTTTCAAAATACAAATGTATCATGACGTATAATGTGTAAGATCATCAAAGATTACATAGTCTAAATCAGATTATCAAACAGTTTATTCATCTGCAATAATTGCCACCTTTTCTTTCAATGGATTATGTGTTTAGAAATAAGTGGTTAAACTATTTTAGCTCAAATATAGTACTGATTTACGTGTTACAATGAATGGCCATGAAAATAGTTGTTTTGTCATTATTCTATGCATGAATAAGCGAGTATGATTAGTTCTGTTTTGACATAGAGAAAAATGTCTGTTTTAGATAGATATTTTTATTTATTCTATAATGATACACAATGCGAATGAGTATTAAAAAACAGAAATGAATTCGATTTTTCTCTCGTTTCACCTATTTATAGAAAATTCGAACAGCTTATTTTTCTTTATTGGTCCAGAAAGAATTGCATTATTTACTTTGTAAGCACTACTATCATTAGTAATGATCAAAGACAATATATGAATATTCTATTTGCTGATTCATATAAATAGTACAGAAACAAAAAAAAAAAAAAATCATCGTCGTATGTCATGCACAAGCAATTACGTGTGTTATGTTTAATGAAGTCGAAAAAAAGTCGATTCACCTTTTTCTCATATGTTGCATATGCGATTATGACGTTTCATATCTAGAATTTATGCACATTTTTTTTTGTTGGTACATCACTACAGTCGAACGAGCACGAGTAGAAAAGGAAAAAGAACAAATTTTTTGCTATCAGGTTTTTCGTTCTCTTCAATTATCGAATATATTCACCAATTGGTGTATGGTTGTCCTCTAGGCATATCTGTTTCATACTCACTAACTTTTAAGTATCATTAACTTTTCATTAATAAATAGAAATGGGTGTTGTTGGATCATTGCCTTCTCCACTTCCAGCATCTACATCAAATAATACCACAGAACTATCACATGAAGAAGCAGTAGATGAATGCAGCTACTCTATTATGACGATGGATACCAATGATATGCATAAGAACTTGCCAACAAATTCAAATGTTAATGATGATGATAATAAATCTGATGATCAAAAGTGTTCTATACCGAAAGCTCCTGTAACTTTAACATATGGTCCTATAAATGTAACTGTTCGTCCATCTGCGGCACCAACATTAGCAACAGGACGTCGTTCAAAATTTGCTAAACTTGAAGGTGATGCAGCTATAAAACGTGAAATACGACGTAAAAGAAATCGTGAAGCAGCAAGAAAATTAAAAGAAAAACGAGAATTTATTGAACGACAATTAGAACTAAAAATTAGTGAATTAGAATCTCAACAACAAGATTTATTAATGACAGTTAAAAATCTTGAATTATATAAAGGACAACTTGAAATACAATATCGACAAGTTATTTCTCTTCAAGCAAAACTTTCTGAAAAAGCCATGTTAACCTTAAAACAAGTTGAACGCAATCGACAAATATATCAAAGTGTTCCTGTTTATCATAATAATAATGCACGTATAAAACAAGAACCACGTCCTTCATCACCACAATGGCAATTACTTTTTAGTATTTAAACATATCTTTAGCTATTACTGGTTTATTTTTAAAGCATTTTGCTAGAAAAAACCAATAATATTTGTCTGTTTTTATTATTTATTTATTTTTTTTTTTTGTAATTATTTGTTCGATATCTTGAAATTATAAGGTAGCAAAACTAGATGTTACAGTCAGAAACGTATATAGATTATCTCTTTAAAATTACTCTATTGTCAGGATACTTCTTGTTGTTAGTATCAAGAAAATTCTGATGTAAAAATTTTTATTCATCAGTTCATTATTAACGATGTAAAGATGAATAAAGAAAACGAAATATTAAGTCCCTTATTCCTCCTCAAACAAAGCCAATTTTTTGTCAAAAACATAAGGATTGAAATAAATGCATGTAAAGATTGTACGAGATCTGATCTTTCATCAATAGCATGGTATTTTCTAAAAACTTTCGCTATTATCTACTTGAAAAATATGTTCTTTTCCAGATAAAATGGAAAAATATTTTGGCTTTTTCTCTATCTATATTTGTTAGATTGTGCATCCCATAAATTCTTGATGAAGCATCATTGTAGCCAATGCCTTGATTTTTTGTTTGAAAGATCATAGTGACATGCGAAGTATTATACAATTCGTTTTTGCATTAAGCCTTGTTACTAACATATAAAAGAATAACTTTATAGATTGAACCCCTTTTTCAAAAGAGTTTCTTGAGACATTGAAATTTTCATCTTTCTTCAGGTTCCTTGATGATATTTATCTTGACATGCTCTTTCAAAGAAAAAAAAAACTTAAATATATCGAATGCAGATCTACAGACAACTTTGTATTGCAAATAAGCTATTTCTGATCTTTGATTATTGAATATCTCGCAAAAATGTCATGGGTGTGGGGTTGAAAATCTTATCATAGCCTCTTCACTAGAGTTTCACTATATTCTGAAAATTTCTTCCGACTTCAATTTAAGTGATTCAAGATCGATTTTTGAGGGCTGCGTGACCCTCAATTTATTAAGAGAGTTAAAAGAACATCAGAATGATTTTATCAAAATGCTGGAGTCGACCATAAACAAAATATTTTCATCAATTTAATATGATAATTTTGATTAAAAGGTTTGTTTTAATCAATGGAAATAACAACATCAATTTTTATATCTGTTTCGTTAGTCTAAATACATTTTTTTTTGTATTTTTGATAGAAAATTCATATAAGATATGCAGTTTTTTTTTTATTTTTGAATTCTCTGAGTGTTCAAAAGAAAAGTTTTCAATTTTTTCGAGTATGTATTCATGTTAACTATATTCCATCAAATCAATAGTGTGACTTCAATTCTTAAAAAGGTATTATTTTCTGTTTGTTTACCAGTTATTTATTTACTATTCTATGTCATAAACATTATTTTTCTTAAAACTGTCGATTTCTAATAAAAACAAAAGACAATTTTAATATATCACAGCAAATTATTATAGTAGATGTTAAAAATGATACTAGAAGTTTTCTATGTTTACTTCCTCTGGCTAATAACTATATTGTGGTGCTATCTGTTCGAAATAGTCGGTACAATTGTTTCCACAGACAGTTCAAAAATCGATTTCTATGCACAAAATACATATAAAAAAAAATTTTTTTTCGATTTTTTTTTGTCAAAAAGTGCTTAGTGAAAGAAAGTCTAATAGTACTAACTCAATCTAATCTTACAAGAAACGTTCTCAGAGAGAGGAAGGGGATAATCAGTCTCCTCAAAAACATGTGAAAGAGCAGTCATAAGCCCTTGAGTATGTGAGGCACTCGATTAAAAAGAATTGTTTTGTTTTTGTATGTATTCGATGAATCAAATTCTGAAACACCAAATCCTAAATTTAAGCATCTAATTCCTCTTTTCTCTATTACATCTCTAAAAGAAAAAAGCAGCAAAAGTAAGCTTGTAGAAAAGTTGCACTAGTTTTCGTTTCAACAAATCATTCAAGCTCTTCAAAAATTATACCAAAAGAGAAGAAATTAAAAATTGAACAAAATTCATTATGTGAATATAATACAGTTTTGGTCGACTTAAGTTTTTACAAGGCTAACATGAATGAAAAATGGCTCTTTCGATAAGTATAAAATGTTCATTTAATAACAATTTATCTGCTATCAAGATTGAGACTTAAAAAGTTTCAATGCAATTTTCACTCTGATAAAAAAAATGTTCAAAACTAAAGGGTAACTCAAGAGCGAAACCACATTCACATCTCTCTCCTACCTCATGATTTTTGATGATGTTTTAATAGAAAAAAAAATAGTGATCTTCATTGTCTTAAAATAATTAAAAAGCAAAATAAATGCGACATTCGCAATCAGTGTCAAAAGCTGCATTGAATCAAATCTGTATTAGAGATAATTTTTTCCTATGAAAAACTGATTCTTGAAAAACCATGAGAGAAAACTTTCAAGAACATACAGCCGTGAAGGATCACAAGTGAACTTCTCGTAGGACAAATTTGACTAATATGTGTTTGATTCAATTCAAGGCAGCTTTTGACGCTGATTGCAAATGTCGCATTTAGTTTATATTACAATCGTTTTATGGCAATGAGAGCCGCTATTTTTTTTTTCTATTAAAACATTATCAAAAATCATTATCTAAGAGAGACAGGTGAATTCAATTTCGCCCTGAAGATGTCATTTTGTAAAGAATGTAAGTTGCATAACGTAAATAGTTAAATTCACCTTGGAGCTCTCTGATTCTCAATCTTGATAAAACATAAATTGTTATCAAATGAACATTTTAGACTTATTGAAAGAGTCATTTTTCATTCATGTTAGCCTTGTTAAAACTTGAGTCGATCAAAACTGTATCGTATTGATGTAATAAACATTGTTCAGTTTTTATTTCTTTATGTTTTGGTATAATTTTTTCAAAAGTTTGAATGATTTGATGAAACAAAAACTAATACAACTTTTTTACAGGGTTACTTTTGCTGTTTTTTTCTTCTTCTAAAGATCTAATAGAGATAAAGTTAGCATTCACTAAATTTTGAGAAAAAAAAGGGAATCAGACGCTAAAATTTATATTTTGAGGTTTCAGAAATTGACTCATCAAATATCTCATCTATTAACATGATAATAACTAGTCTCATAATTCCTTTGTTAAATACATGGAGCGAAATGCAGGTGAATCAGTTGTTACAAGTTAAAAATAATTTTTTTGCAGTTGTCGGTCCCGCGGAGTCTTCAATCTATTTTCTTACACGAAATTCCTGTGGACATCTTTGCTCTTACCAACTTTTCCTCATCTGAAATTTCGATCAAAGGCTTGTGTGCTGTCACATTTTTTTATGACATATGGTTTTGCCTGAGATCTGATATTTTTCTTAGAGTTATAGACGTTCATAATTTTAACAAAATTTCACTAAAAAACAAGAAGATATTTCTTGTCGGCTTCGGAAATTTTTATAGAAAATCATACGCGAAAATATTCTTATTACGACATCGGATAACAGCATATTGTTTTAAAAAAACCCCATTATCAATGTTTTATTGAATAGCATAAAGTCTAGCATTATTTGGAAAAACATTACTCCAGCTGCATCTGGACTCGAGAAGTTAACCATTCTATTAACAATGATCGCAAATCTAATGACAAGTAATGATTCATGGATCCTACTTAGCTGTATGAGATTTCATTCCTAACTTTTCCCAACGTTCAAATTAGTTGAGCTTGAATGTGTAAAGATTTTAAATTGTACTTCACACTCGTAAACTTACACAGCACTGCAAATCAATGTCAGGATTATCTTGACTTTATTCGATCGGTTTTGTGCACGTTCATTATAAGATCGATGTGAACTCATAAAGAAATCTGCGAACGACTCAACTAACAAAAATTCATAGTTTATTTTATTTTCTATTTATCTCATTAGTATTATATAGTATTGATGAGATAGAACCCAATAATGAAAACCTGTTTGACTGCCTGAAATGCATTGACTTGAGATATATGTCCATAGTGGATATTATTGACTACATTCTGGTGACATGATTTCATGATTTCTTTTTTTTGGTTTTTTGACGATGTTCAACATTCGAAAGCAAGTTCTCCGAGTTATGACATGTATAAACGTCACCAAATTTATCATAATAAGGTTTAACTTCATAGTTGGAACCGAATCGGCCGGATTTGTTTTTATTTTTAGAGTACTAATACTGGCTTAATTTGCACGTTTTTAATGATTTTCATGGTCTTGATAATGAAGAGATATGAAGTTAGAGATCCCTTGCTAACAAAGTTCTAGTCCTCGTAAAAACTTCAGCTCTAAATATTGAGCTGACACTTTCTCCTCATATAATGAGAGACTCGGATCATGCTGAATAAGTTAATTATGCTCACAAAAAGTTAGTCACGTATTAGCAGTTAATTTCTGTCAACACTGAAACTTTTCACCTCGAAATCTTGAACTCAATTTTTTGGACTAATGTAATCAACTCTCATAAAATCCAAATAGCTAGTAGTTTTCAGTTCATACTTTCATGACAAAATATCAGAAAAGATTCCCTTCTGTTATCAAGATGTTGACAGCTACTAGTATCATGTAACCGTGAAAATATTCAACTTTAATGAATCTTAAAATAGGAAGTTTAGTATAACGAATGTAGATTTTAGTTTATCTTATCTTTCTGTCGGCAATAGCATCTTTGAACGAGTTGTGACGTTTTTTAGTTATGCTAAATAATTATTTCAAATAAGAATAGATCAAACTTACTAATAATAAAGAAATCATATCGTTATTGAAAAAACTCAAGCAAGTCATAGTATAGACGCTATACAATATGAATTGCTATGAGTTACTGGATCAGACATTTTAAAAGAAATCTTCTTTCGTTCTTAATGTTAGCGCATATGAAATGTGATAGACTATAATGGGAGTTGTTACTAATGCAAACTTCAAAATTTGTGTGTTTTTTACATTATATGTGTTTGTAGAACTGAACTAATAGATTGTTTCTCAAAACAAAGTAATAAATTAAATTACATACTAAACGCACTGGTGTTTTTTATCGGTAAAATCAAGAATTATAACTGATCAGTTCAGTCCGATCGAAAAAACCAGGCCGGTTTCAAATATGTTTAGGTTTGAGAAGGCTTCGTCGGTGCTATTTCTTAACAATGACATTTTAAAGAGCCCAAAATTCAGAACAAAATAAGTGGTCGCTGGATTTTTCTATGAACTTTCCTTAAAAAGTGACAAGTATCATAGAAAGCGAAAAAACGTGGTTTTTAGTCGATTTTTTGATGAATTTCGTTTTTAACCTTTTAAGAAAAAGTTGTTTAAAATTCTGTGCCGCCTCATTTGGTTCAGAATTTTGTGGTTGTTCAAATAGTTTGTTGAAAAATAGTACTGAATATGTCTTTGAGACTTGAAAGCTACTATGTTCAACTTTTTAGATATCTTGGCATAGAATATACATATAGAAAACTCTATTGGCTATTAAAATAACTATATAGATTTGAGCTGATTGGTTAACATTATAGAAATAAAAATCAAGAATACTCTATCATTAAACTCTTTTCCACTACCTTATATGTATGTGCATCAAATTGAAATAATTTCTGGTCCCTACACTATTTCTTTAAACACATGAAGCTTTGAAAATTTCAATAAGTGTTCATGCAATATCATTAACAATGTGGGTCCTGTTGAGCATTTACTTAGGAAATAGTTCCATCATGTAAATATTATAAAATATGCATCTATATTCTTGACAGTAATATGATGTAAATAAATGTTTATCTATTCATTATTTATTGTATGAGCATGATGAACGAATGACCGATATGTTGAGTCAGTTATTTTCAAGATGTAAACCCAATTAGATAGTCTCAAAAAATCTATATATATAGGGCATACCAAAAGTCTTTACGGAGCTATGTCAATTTCTTATAAGACGCTTGAAGAAATTTTCTTTCTATATAGACTGATAGTAAAAACAAAGCTCTATATTTCTACACTATTTGATCATTATTCATCCAATATCGTAATTCTAAAATTTCCATTAGACTGGTTTAGCTATGATATGTAACAATAACATTAGTCAATATTGTCTACAATGTGTGTGTGGATGCGGATGCGACTGAGTGTGACTATGTTTTACGCTCACACGTCAAGCCCACCCTCACGCCTGCAACCACACCTACCAACCACACCCATACCCATCCACACTGATACCTACACCAACACCCACATTGAAATCAATATTGATTAATGTTATTGTTACATATCATAGCTAAACCAGTCTAATGGAAATTTTAGAATTACGATATTAGATGAATAATGATCAAATAGTATAGAAATATAGAGCTTTGTTTTTACTATCAGTCTATATAGAAAGAAAATTTCTTCAAGCATCCTATAAGATATTGATATAGCTTCGTAAAGACTTTTGGTATGTCCTAAGTATATATTCATTGTATTTATTTTATTTATTCGTGTGCGATTGATTTAAAACTTTCATTAATTTATTCAACCATCCGAAGTCTGGTTTTTATCATCGATCATAAAGCAATAAATTTCCATATCAATATTTCTATTACCTTGATGTCTAATTTATCGATCATCTATTTAAATGAACTTTCCATTTTGAGAACTCTGCTATTCAACTAAATTTGCTTTTTCCTGTTTCTATTCATTCTTATGAAAATGTATGTAGGGTGTTCGAACACAAGAACACATTAATTGAAAGAAAAAAAACTCTTTTCTTCATTTAAATTATTCTTTCCAAATGCTTGTTCTGAAAGCAATACTTCTTTTTAGTCTCCATTCACACATACTCATTCTCCTTATGTCTACTCTATCGACTAAACTTTTCTGTTGACAACAATATTGTTTTTTGTCGTTGTAGTTGTCAACGCATCTACTTAAAAATCGCTTTAGTTTTTCATTGTGATTTGTTTTCTCATTCACAAACTTGTATTCCATCATCAGTGTCGAAGGAGAAGAAAAGAAATTGTTTAGTTACAAACGTGCAAGCATATCTAGAATAATTGATTAAGTGAAGAAAACGTATATATATATATATATATATCATGGCATCTTCTTCACGTGAACCATCACCAAAAAGAAGTCAAACAGTTGATTCACAATTAAACACAAATCGAAGACAAAACTATGATGAATCTAAATCAAAAACACCTCGAACACGTTTAGCTCCAATACATCGTTCTTCTAGTTTATATCGTCTTAATAAATTATATCATTGTCCACCAACACCACCACCTGAAGTACAATTTGATCGTGAACACAGTTTTGTACTTGATTGTAAAGCTGTTTCAAATATTTCGATTGATTATTCACCAGCTAATCCAAAATTAGGTTCTGTTATTCCACCATATAATTCACAATTAGATCCGCATGTTCAAAGTTATTTTCAATTTTTCGGCTTACCAAAAACATTAGAAAACACTGGACAAGTATATTTAAATTATTTAATAATAATAGATTATATAATCTTCTATTTTTAATTTACTTTAGTTAGCTTCCCATGAATCTATTGCTGGTCATGTACATGATCGTTTTTACACAAATGGTCCTGGTTTTCGATATTTATCACTTCGAAATAAATTTGGTTCAGGTAAAAAAATTTGATATAGAAAGAAACACATTATAGAAACAAATTTAAACTAAAGGACATTCAATCGATGAAGTTCGTGGGCATGAATTATTTTTAAGTGATCCAAAACCTGTAGTCAACTATAATGGACTTTTTGGTATGTTAATAATAAAGAATAATTTTTTGAATAACTTTTTATTTTAAAAACAAAAGGTTATCGTCGTAATACTCCATCACTTCGTAGACAACCAACAATTGGTACGACAACAGTTGATAGTACTCAAGGCATTATACCATTCGGCCGTTTTTCGGTCATTGGTTGTGGTAAACCTTATGAATTCAATTGCCGATGTAAATTTGATCGACCATGCCGATGTCATAATCAAGATAAACTTTGTCCATGCGTTAAAGCATAAGACAATCTGAATATTGGACAAATACTACATGATCTATGATAAATAGATATTTGACATTTTATTTTTATACAATTTTTCATCAATTCTTGAACGACTTTCATCAATATCATAAGAACATGTGTTTTTTATGTACTCAATATAAATCATTAAAATCAATAAGATATTTATATTGACAAGTTCCATGTTTTAGGTCTCGTGTAAATGAAGTAAAACCTATTTTAAATTAATAATGATTATTATCATTCAATAACAGAGAGAAGATTGAATATGTTTAAGATAAATAACATTTGTAGTCAATATATAATCATGTAATTCATCATAAACAGATGATATTGATAGATCACAACAATCATGTATTATTATATCATGATTCTAAAGATATATATATACGTAATTAGAAGAAAACAAAGTCCTTATAGTCAACCTACATCTCTGATTTGTAAAGATGGTAGTCTTGATATAGACAACATATAAACTTTGCCATAATCATCTTAAACCTTTTTATCAATTGAAAGGGAAAATAAGTCGAATTCGATCCTCAATAGGTGCTTGTAGTTCGACAGTACACTTCTCGTATGTTTATAATAATTATCATCTACACGGTTTCATAACAACTGAACCAAGACAATATGTATAATTAATATAGAATGAAAATTTATTTTGACTTATACAAAATGGAATATAAAAGTAGAATAAACTATCATCACATGTGTTGATTGTATATTATTGTTAATAATTCACTGTTGTGTGAATCTTTCTAATTGTAGACGGACATGTGACTTACGCTCTCGGAAAAGGACTTTATTTTGCTCAGTAGTGATTGCATATCACTCAGAAAAGTACATTTAATAAAATAAAGCATTTTTCAGTGAAAAACATCTGAGAAGAACCTTTGTGTACGTTTTCTCAAGAAAGCTTTTTGATCAGAAAATACCTTGCTTCATACAATATCTGATATAGTTTCGTGCACTAATTCCCAATATACCATTGTTATGCAATCAGGACTTTCTAGGATTGGAAAAAAAAGGAGAGCTATCTGAAAAACTAGGGTTTCTTGAAAAATCTATATTTAACGAGGGATCTGATCAGATACTGCCTATAGATACTGTACAATGTGCTAATAAAAGCTTTTAATGAGTCTGGGTTCTTATTGGTATTTGAATAAGCTATCAACTTTTTAATATGTCTATTTTCTGGACTCCAAATTTTCGAAAAACTCACATTTTCGACTTTTAGACTGACGTGTTTCGCATATAGAGAACTCGAGTAACTAGTGTTCATAAAAAAGACTCGACAGTTTTGAACAAAGTCTGTTCGAGATATGAAACTTTCAAAGTACAGGTCCTTGTCTATAGAGAGTGTACACAACATGCATTTTTTGAAAGCTTCATATGTCGAAGAGACTTTGCTCAAAACTTCTGAGTTTTGTTATGGGCTCTAGCTTAGTCGAGTTCTTTATATGTAGAAATTTTCTGAAAACCTAAAGTCCAGAAAATAAATATGAAAAAAATCGATAGTTTATTCAAATACCAATATGAATCCAAAACTATTTAAGGTTTTTATTAGAACAATATATTGCATCTATTTACAAAAAACACTGAAATCGGAACGGGATATCAGAAGAGATACCCTCGTGAGTCTAATGTCGAAGTTTAGTTTTTTTTAACAACAGGCGTGTTTTCAAGGTAAGTTTTGATTGACGAACTTTTGACTCTAGTTGGCATTTGTAACAGAAAATTTGATGCCAACAGATAGACAACATTTCTCGAAATATATTTACTACTATTTTAATTTATGAAAAGTTTAGTTTAATTTTTTTTCCATCTGATTTCTGCTTGAATGCACACAGTATCTTTGTTTGTTCTACAGATCTGATTAGTTTTCATATCGTTCTTGATATTTGATGGATCAAGATTTTTTTCAAAGTTTTTGAGTTCACGTATTTGATTACCAAAATATAATAATTAATTCATTATCTTTCGATCTTTAATTTATAATCAACATTTGCTAAAGAAGCAAAAGAAAAAATCTGTCAAGTTGCAAATGAATTAATTTAACTTTCATTTATATTCTATAAATGATCAACATTGATTCACATAGGTGTGCGTCATAATTTCTTTTTTTTCTTTAATTTAAAGATTTACAATTACCAGCAAACGGGTAAACTAGCGAAAATATTTGCTCTACTTTGATTTTTCGTCCATGTGTCTTTTTGCTTTGCTTTTTATATTGAGCTTAAAAATTTATTGAGATTATTTTGTTTCAGCAAAACATTATTTAAATAAATCATATCAAGAACAAGTTTCTCGTCAAAAGTCATAGATTTATGAAATTGAATTGGTTGATATTAACAATCATGATGATGATATTAGTTTTATTCATGTCTTTTATTTTGATTTTTTTGTATGTATAGAGTATGATCACTCTGTTTCTCTCTCACGCACTGTGTCATTTTTCAATTAAACGCTTTTGTATGTTTCATTATTTTTGTATAATTGTGCATGCTTGCTCTCGTTTGTATTGCACTAAATATAATATGCACTATGTAATTTTATTTTTTCGTTGTTTTTATTCTTTGTTTAGAAGACCAGAGGTTTAAAAAACAAGATTAAACAAGGTCGAAAATGCCATTTTTTTGTCTTAATGGATGAATAATAACAAAATTATGAATGAATGCTTCACTAAATATTAAGATAAGATTGAATCTTTGACATGATTTTTGTTTAATATATATTATCTTGTCAATATATAATTTTATTTATTTATACACCTAAGTATAATCTATATGTGTTAATATAGATATCATCAAAATCAATAAATATAAATGAAACTATAATGAGAATCTATTCAAACGATTGACATCTGTCGTCTAAGAAGAAAAACAACAAAGAAATGAAAATTTAGTAACTGTTCTAGTGCATTTGTACAGATGTGCGAGACCAATTTTAGTTCGAGTTCTGATTTTAGTGTTCGGAACTAAAGATTATACGTAAGTATCCTATGATTTTCAGTGTATTATCTTATAAATTACAATATAATTCACAAGACAAATAACTTGTGAAATAGTATCCTTTGAATCGGGACTTGGACCAGATTAGATTTACTGAATTATGACCGTAGTCGATAAAGAAAAACTGACCAGAGATCAGAACTTAAAAAACTTGTTTCACACATTTCTATTCATGTGCTAATTTTAGGAATAGGTAATAACAATCATTATGGTTTGAAAGAATATTTTTACCTTCTAGATATAACGATATGATTTGACCTAACTTTTCATAGTCAAATACATGAAGGGGTTATGTGTTGTATGGATTTTGGTAATATATGTTATATGTTTACGTCAAGCTTTGTCTTTCGATGCGAAACAAAGTACCTGGTAGTAAGTTGATAAGCATTTTTTATTCTCTTTCGAAATGTTTGACGTTTTGAGAATAAACATCATTGTCAGTTTCGTCTTTTGTATGAATACATTTAGAACGAATATATCCCCATACTGTTTACTATGTCTATTAATCATTTGCTTTTTGTTACTAATCAAAAAAGAAGCAAATCCAATCAATGAAATGGTTTTTGTTTTTTCATGTTTTCTACATTATGATGAAAGAATTAGAAATACGTAGAAATAAATAGAAAAATTTTTTTTCATATTATTGGTCTTAAAGATGTAAAATATAAATGGAACAAAAATTTTTTGTGCATATTTTTTTGTACGATGTCAAATAACTATGAATCCGAATGAATGAGACTGATTATGAAATCTATTTAATACAATGTTGCAAGAATCAACATGAATAATAAAAAAAAGAAGATTTTTCGACAATTGAAAAATTATCAACAAACAGCTTTGTATCTCGATTTTTGATATCTCAAAAAATGATTTAGTTTTTCGTATGAATGGCATAAAAACTGTTGGACGCAACTTCGACACTGTTTCCTATACATGAATGAGTTTGAAATTTCTAATAAAATTAGCGCAAAAATGAAAGATAGTCGATACAATTTCTTAGTGTTGCATTTTATTATATTCTACACCTGAGTTACACAACAAGTTTCCGAACATTTTACTACATATTAGCCGATATACGACTATGCTCTAGTATAAAACTACTGTAAAGAATGTTACTTGATGAAAAAAAATGTCCTTCTACAGCTCATCATATTTTGTAAATTTCTCTGCAATTGAAAGAGACAAAAGGCTGCATTTCTAACCGATTAGACCACTTCAAGAAATGTAACTACCCTAGAAATTTGGCCGAAAACAAACAAACTTTTCACACCACTATTTCTCAAATGTCTTTCTAAAATATGAATAAAGGTTTTTAGAAAAAGATCGTTTTTATTTCATAGAGAAAAACAGTATCACCTTGTTTTTGCAAGTACTGTGAAATATAATCTCCTTTCATATAAAAATGATAATGTAGCTGTTACAAAGTATTGCAGACTAAAGGTTCTAGATGGGAAAGCATTTAGGCGACAACGATATCTATTTCGATGGAAGATTTCACGCTCTTCCAAATCGGCGATTTATTATCTTTTATAAAAATCTTTTTTTCTAAAGCATATGTGTGGCAATTAGACATTCAAAGATGAATAACATATACAAAGATCTGCCGAAATTTGTCAATCAGAACAAATAGTATATGGAAATACTTCTTTGCGTACCGCTCTTTCAGCAAGAGAATATGATAGTCATGTGAAAGCACCTATGATCTGTGTTTTTTTTGTGTAATTCACACTAACATAAGCAAGGTTTAGAATAACAGAAAAATAAATTTGAATTTTAACAGATACTAGAGATATTTATATCGTGTTTAGGAAGATCCAAAAATAGGAGTGAAAGTATTTTAATTCCTTATAAAAAAAAAAACTTAACAGAACTTTCTCTATATTGTCGTATAATAAAAACAGTCGTCTATTTTTCTAAAGTTCTTCAACTAATATCATATGATACCTTCGTTTTTATGACAACAACTAGGGTTAACAAAAAAGACTTTTCAAAATTTACAGCCGATAAAATTCTGACCTCTATCGATCTGGTCGGACCAGTTCCAGTCCTAAGAATTAATGATTCTAGAGGAGAAACTTGGTTTTTCGGGAGACCTCTCGCTCGCTCTATGTTTACTGATGCACTATGGTGCTATAATCAACGATAAATCATATACAGAAGAATGATCGTTAAAACTTGGAGTTCCATCGGATAAAAAAATTTGTATTGTTCACAAAATACGATATGACTTAGTTTTCTAGCTACTCTTGATCCAGCAATCACTTTTTTCTATTTCATTTTTGGTTCAGACGAAATAATTTTTTTACACAATCGAATTTATGAGCCAATCCTTCATTTCAAATAATGTTTCATTTTAAAATATTTTTATATGTTGATAAAAGGAATGGTTTCTGTATAATTACTGATTAATGAACATTTTTGTAACGATAAGCTTTTCTAGGATTCGACTCGATTTCTGAAAATCCAGTTTTAGAGTAAGATAGACGGATCCTAGATGTATTCATTCGAATATTGAAACTTTAGAAAATAGAACTTGAGGTCATGACCGTTTGCATACTCACTCTGTGCTATGATTATGGTTCTTCAACTTCTTCTAGACAAAGAAATAAGAACTCAATATATATCTCCGAATATAATATGATCATATCATTATTTCCAGTCAGTTGACTACTATAATTGTCTTTATATATATAGTTCCATTAGAAACTAAAGAGTTAGAAATTCATCCAAGACATATAAATGTTTGTCTAGGGCAAAACAGACAAAAATTTTTTTTTTCTAGATCAAGAAAACTTTGGTCGCGTGTTTTTCCTCATGCATATCAAATAAAAACTCTTTTTCATCGTTCTTTCTTGTGTCTCAATGTTATGTACACATATAGATACAGGTGTATCAATGAAGCGTGAAATATGTAAATAGAATCGTGTCCTTGTTCACTAACAACATAGTCTCGTTTTTCAATAACTAAATAACTCAATATACAAACCTTGAATCGGATGACGACTAAAGTTTTTAAACTCGAAAAAAAAAGACACAAGTTTTATTCTGACAAAAGACTCTAATCATTTTTTTATTGCATTAATTTATTCCGAAGATTATAGTAAACGAAAAAAAATCAAGAACTGTTTTTGTATTTTGTCACACTTGAAGGTTGATTGCGTTTCTCTTTTTTCTTCTGTCGATAGATACCCCCAACATTAATTCGTTTTGGCTTGTATTTTATTTTCTTTTTAGTATGCATGTGGTATATTCACTTAAATAGACACAATTGACGATAGAAGGAAAAATTATTGAGATAGAAAATGATCGATAATTATCCGAATCCAGTTTTCTATAATCCATCGGCTATGGGAATACCACCGAATTACGCGTTCGACAATAGGATGTTTATAAATCAACCAATGAATATGCAACCAATGAAACCAAAGAAACCAAAGAAACCAAAGAAAAACCGAAATTCACCTTTTGTTACTCGTATACCAAGTCTTCATTTACCTGCTATTATTTTACTTGGTTTTTCTTGGGTATTACACGCACTAGCAACATTTCTGCCATATTGGTCAGTGTATTCTAGTGTACCTAATTCTCGAGCAGGTATTAATTTGAATTGATTTTTTTTTAATTGATCAAATATTTTGATTTGATAAAAGGTCTTTGGAGTGCTCAAAATTTTAATTATTGGACAATACAAAATTTTTATTTTCCAAATCCGAATACTTTCACAACTATAACCAGCTCAATTCGATTTACTAGTGCAAATACAAAAGGTAGTTATTTCTTTTTTAATGAAAAACCAAAAACAAAATTTGAACTTTTTTTAATTTTTATAGGCTATTTAGTAACTGTACAATTTTTAATGACATTTAATTTTGCCGTTATGTTTATTGTACTTGTTTTATTGATATTTGACTTCATTTTATCTCGGAGTAAGACTGGTAAACCTCGTAGTTTACTTATTCGTGATTATAATACATGTGATACAGTTATAATATATGCTCTTCTTCTTTATATTATTTATGTATTTGGTATGAGAAACAACAAAGAATCATCAAAGATTTACGTTGATAAAATTGGTTTTCTTTTTTTGTTCTTTTATTAATTTAGGCGCATTTGAATTCGCAGCGTGGATAACATATGTTGGTTCACGACATGATAATAATTGGACAATGCATGTTTCGTTTGCGTTTGCTGTTATCGTTAGTGCATTTCTATTAATTATTTTTATAATGTATGTTATTGAATTTATTAAAAGATTTTAGTAAGTATTTTATTTATTTATTTATTTATTTATGAAAATAAAATTATTTATTATAATATAGCAAAGTTCGTTTGAAATGGGAATATTGGTATGGTCCATATATGGAATGGGGTTTTTTTGTATATCTTACTGCATTACTTTTCCTTCTTCTTGTCATTTGTTGTCCTGAATGGGCTTATAAAAAAATTCAACCATTAACTTGGTTTGCTGAAATTGGCCTTTTTAAACAATGCTTTTTAACAGAGATATATAAAAAGACTCTCACAACGGGTTTTTGTACATTATCTAATCCTTCAAGCAATCAATGTAAATTATTATTTTTGTTTTTATCTTCTTAATTATTTTCTTTTTGTTTTTCTTTTTATATTTAGCATGGGTTGATGCAACACAAGCATTTATGTTAATAGCTTATGTTGTAGGCATGATTATCTTGGTTGTCATTGTTATTTTTCGAAAAGAATTTCGTCATAGAGAAAATGGTTATTATGCAGTACGTGTTGGACAACCAACATTTACATATATCATAGCGGGACTTATACTCTTCTTCTGTTGTAAGATATGCATTGTTTTCTTGCTTCAAATAATATTAAGTCTATTCATTATTTAGTTCTTTTTACATTAATTGGTGTGTCAATATTTGGTGGTGAAGTATTTCCGTATTCAATAGATGTTAATTGGGGATATATAGTTGCTGTATTTTCTATGGTACTTTTTCTTATTGCTGGTATTCTATTCATTATGGATGCCGTTCATAGTCGAAAACAAATACCGTATGTTTGATGAGAAAAAAAAACAAATTATACTTTTTATACTTTTGTTTAGTCGTGCAAATTCATCATCGGCTAGTAAACTTTTCTTTCCAGCACCTTTAAATTATCGTGCATTCGGTATGAAACCATTCGTGACACCAGAACCTGTTAGTCAACAGATACCACCATTCATGTCCATGGACCCATTACAATTCGGACCAATGGCTCCCGCACCTTGGCAAACAATGTCACCCTTCGATTTTCAACACCAAGCAATGTACCCGACACCAGGTTTTGCCGATGCATCCTACATTCCACTGCAAGATATGTCAATGATACCGCCCACTTATGATATGGATATAGAACCATATCGATCAGCTCCATTCACCGGAGCAGTTTTATATGATTATATGCAACAAATGCAATATAATCCACAATTATCATCGTTCCCGTATAATGAAGGTTTAACGGCTTATTCATATGGTAATCCATTGACTTTTCCAAATGACCAAATGTATCTTACTGAAGAGGATAGATTAAATGAAATGGTTTATCAACAGTTTCTACAACAACAACGTTTAGATTATAATCATGAACGTTTACTTGAAAGATACGGTCATATTTCTCAACCATACACATCTACATTTGGTACAAGTACTTTACCTGGTCGAAATTATGATGAATATTTACGTGCGATGTATGGTTATGATTATGATGGAAATTCATTAGCTGCAATGTCACGAGCCGGTATTGGTGCATCAGACGAAACGTATCGATGGATGGGTGGTGATTATGATGAAACTTTACCAAGAGATATTAGTGCGGTAAGGCAATATAATCGAGATGAATATCCGCCATACGTATACGCAGAAAAAATTGAACCCGTAAAAATATATAATCATCCAATATTTAGATCACCATTAGCTTATATACGATCATTATATAATAAAACAAAATATTCAGAGAAAATTCATGATGAAAATGAAATTAAATTAAATAATGTCGATCATAAGGAGGAATATGAAATAGAACCAACAATTACCATTGATAATGACAATGAAATATCTGATCGTACAAATTTAGAAAATATATCGAACAAAAAATGGAAAAAAACAAAATATGGACATCTTATTCCTATTAATTCTCATCTTTTTAATATATATATTCAACGTTTAAATGGATCTATTGAAAGTTATGGCCAATCATTATATTTACCATCTGCTCGTCATAATCGTAACACACGATCAAATCATTATGGAAATATATTTATTGCACCTCTATCAGATACTAATTTAGTCTTGGTTCGTGTGTCCAATAAGACTTCGTCGTCATCGAATAATGGATACGATACATTGCATTCACAAACAGTTTCTCCCACCGTTTCACTGTGACTGTTAGAATTATTTACTAAAGGTTCGAATAGATATTTTCAAATGAAACGTTTCATGTCATGTCATTAGACCTTTATCAGAATAAAAATCTTTCTATTTTTTTTTTTTTGAATATTTTAAATGACCTATTTCTATAAAAATAGTAATAATTTATCAAAAAAAAAAGAACCAAACCGATATAATGTATCTAATGCTATGTGTTACGAAGCAAATTAAGTCCCATGAAAACATCATCTTTAAAGTCCTTCATTTCATTAACATCAGTTATTGCGTTGCCATATTCAATAAAAAGTAAATTATCAAGAAAAAATACATTAATAATAGATAATGCAGGTATTAATGCATTAAATTCTATTAAACATCAATAAGCTATGCTATTTGCTTTTCAAAAGAAAGAAAAAAAAATTAAAAGTTTATAGATATAAATATGCGTCATTTTTCTCACTCAATTAACTATGAGAACTTTTTTAATAATATAAAACCTAAATCATTATTAACGCTTGTCTGCATGAATGTTATTATACTGATAATTTCCATCGACTTGACTACTTCAGGACAATCTTCTCCATCATCATTAAATCCACGTAATGCCTTGAATATTTCTTCAATATCACTTATATCTGAAATTGTTTCAACATCAAGTACCATTGTTTCATACTAAACACTTTCAAGTACCTATGATGAATTTTTAATGATTATACCCTTTCCAGCTTCAACAACACCATCATTAGATCAAACAAAAGCGATCTCTTTTCATGGTATATCACCATTATTATCCGTAAACGATATCTTTTTTTAGTAATAATAGTAATGATAGTAATGATTATGTAAACAAGGCGTGCAGATAATACAATAGACCATAATTAAAATTTAGAATACATTAAAAGATAATTTTTTCTATATATAAATATTCAATCAAACATGCAACAGCTGATGGCAACGCAGATCTGAATCTATCATCTTCTGACGGCTAAGTTTTATATTTATTCTTACATATTGTATATGCTAATCAAAATAGATGAATAAATATTCTTGTAAAAGAAAAAAGTCAAATAGTATGTGAATATTTATTAGATATGTGTTTTCTTTTAGACAAAATATTTATTTCCTAGAAAATAACAAACTCTTTCTGATGTAACGAAATACTAAGTTATCACGTTATAATAATAATAATCTTCTGGAAGTTTAACACCAGTAAAAAAAAAATGCATACTAATAGATGGGGCGAAATAAATGGCGGTCTTAGTATTTTGTTGACATCTCAGTCAATTTTCATCCCTTAGATATTATTATTATTATTATTATTTCAAAGAATATGCTGAGTACTTCTACAAAAAATGATGTGGTTTACTGAACTAAGACGTTTCTCTCCTCTCCTAGAAGATAACTTATTTGAAAAATGAAATGATACAATTTTCGAAACTTGACTTGTTTTCCACTTTCTATTTCAACAAAACATTTTTTTTTTCTTACAACATTTTTAGAGGTCATTATGACGTGTTTATAGTTCATCAAAGTTACTAGTGTACTGCAAGTAATTATTTAGAATGGTTCATTGTCAAAATGAGTTGTAAATTTTTCGTAACAAAAGTCATACTACTTTAAGAATAAAAATGTTTTCTAGAAATAAAAAATATAAGTTTGGAAAGTTGTGTGCAGTCTAACTGTTCAAATAAGTGAGGTTCAAAAGAAGGAGAAAAACATATTAGTTGAATAAATTACACTGTTATGTAAAATGATATGGTGAGTTTTTTTCAAAAATGTGATAGAACTTGAGCAATTAAAGTCTACTAAAAAGCAACACAATACTCATACTGTCATTTAGTTTACCGCATATGTTATTAGTGCTTTGCATAACAGTTATATTAACTTATAAATACCTAACGACCTATTTAATATTTCACTTACGTATAAAGAAAAACGATGTATATTTGTAGTGCACTTCTCACGTGAAAGAGTAGACACGTTGAGAGAGTTCATTAAAAAAAATTCTAGATAGTCTCGCTATAGTAATTTTTAATGAGTATTTACAGGATAACGCTAATGGTCAATTATGAACATTCTTCATATGGTTATTTTTTTCACTTCAATGACGACTAGTATTATATACTAAGATAAGAAAATAATCTTGAATCCAAAATGCAATTTAAAGGCAATTTAATATTAGCTCGAAGTCTTATCTATTTTTTATGATGTTTATGACACCATATGGTATATATTATAAGTATTGAAATAAGTTCCAACCGCTGGGCAAATGATAACAAGATAGAAAGGAGTAAGTCATTGATCAACTTAGTTACACACCATGTGGCTCCATACTTAGAGTAAGATGTTAATTTCAATGAAATTAAAAAATAACGCCCTGACACTCGTTTCTACCGTTTTCTCTATGTAACTAAAATAAAAGTTTCATTATGGTTTCGGAAATAACGTCTACATTTATTTTCTCTCATAGTAAATTCTATCTTCATTCTATTTGTATTCATCTTGTTAGAAGATTACTAGGCGAATATATTTTTTTCAAATGAGTTATAGACATTTAAAGTAACTACGACGTAGCATTCAAAAGCTCATCTGGACTCTATGAAATCATCGAACGTGACGTCTTACAACAAGAAGAAACGACGCCAATAAAATTTTTTCTAAATGCACGCCTTGTTATTCTAGATTACATAAAAAAAATTAATTGATGAAAATTATATGGCACATCGTCAACTAACATTTCTAGCATTTGTCTAATTTCTTTTTTTTTTCCTCTCATTCGCATTTCTCTTACATATATGTTGACATACGTTATTCAGATTATTGCAACTATCATCTTTATATCATCTTGATTTTCAATATTCAACAAGAAATTATTTGATCATTATGAATTTACAAAATAGAGGTAAGATTAAACATTTTCGAACCCTAAGTTTTGAAATAATACATTGTTACAATATATAACTTTTTTTTTTTTCTTTTGAAAAAAAATCAAATAAAAGAAAAGAAAATTTGATGATAATAAATTTGAAAATTTGTTTTTTTTTCTCGACATAATCAAATTTATACTCGATAGAATTCATTCAATTTCATCTTTAATTTCCTTTCAAAAAATATCTAAAAATCAAATTTTTTCAATATAAAGGTGTGACTTATATTTTGACAAATAAATTGAACGTGCCCTATTCAAATTAAAATCACAATCTTAATAATATATCTTGTTCATCTTCCGATGACGAAAAATAATAATAATAATAATAATAATAATATGTCATTCGTTCCTTGATGATTGTCATCGTTTCAATTGTGTAAGCCATTGAAGATGATTATGTATAGAGTAATAAATCACGCGATGCAGAAGAACCCTAGATTACTGCATTGTGTCAATGTTGTTTTCTTTTTCTTTATCTATGAACTTGAAAGCCAATTTCTCATTAATATTCAATAACGTATGACAATTCTTTGACGATATTCATTTTCCGAAATAATTGAGATATTTGACATCTATCTAGTGAAAAGGTTTATTCAAGAAAATTTTGTTCTCCTATTCAAAAAATTTATGTTTTTGTAGATGAATTCATAGATGTCAAGTATTTTCTTTTTTTTTTTTTTTTTTTTTTTTTTTGAGAAGTCTTTAAAAACTCATTTCCTTTGATGTGTCTAATATGTTTTTTAGTGAAAAAATTATTAAATATATTAACATCTTGTTTGCCTTTGTTGAATATAAAAGTATGACTTTTTTTAGACTTTTTAAATTTTGATATGTTCTCCTATGCATAAAGTGTGATATAAAGTTGACATTTATTTTAATTTAAATAATTTACTACTGTGATGGAAGAAAAAAAAAAAAAAAAGAAATTAATTTGATGAATGCTTGCAAAGAAAAGTTGACGTCAGTTGAAAATAATCTGATGTTAGTCGTTAGATCATTGCCTTTATTTGAGTTTGTTTTGGTTTACTTTAAAAAAAATTACAAAGTCCTTTTTATGATGTTTGTCGATGAATTAAAGTATAAACAAGAATTTGTACTTTTTTCAATATATTATGATTTTCTCTTTGAACTTTACCATTGTTGTTGCTGTGCCTTTTTTTGTGACGTTAATCATCTTATAGACTTTTAGTTTTACTCAATATTTATAAGATGGATAGTTGATTGAAAAAAAGTGATTAAAAAGGGATAAAGATTTGTTTTTTTTTAATTTTCTAATTGCCTTATTATAAAAAAAAAAAGTTTCGATTAGCTTATAAGGTTTGAAAATTCAATATTAGAACATAGTGCGTACTTTAATATCTGAATAGATTACTAAACAATGATTGAAAAAAACCATCTTGACGTTTTTTTTTTTTTTTTTATAAATATTATAATGTACTGTCTATATATACCTACGTTTTCTTCAAATGACTTACTTCTTGAATAATAATGAAAGAGTATCACATATTTGATCAAAGAATCAAATATACAATTAAAAATTATTTATAAAATAGAAAACGGTGAAAGAGTTTATTTTTTTTTTTAGTACATTTTTTATTCTATTTGATATAATAATTTCAAAATCTATTATTCTGAATTTCTGCATCATTATATTATTTTAAAGAAACTTATGAAAAAGGGAAACAAAGTCTCTTTAATTAATATTCTTTGTACTTTATTCTTTGAATTATATTGTTAATAAGATCGCTTAAGCGTTGGAAATTTTTTAATACTTACTAACGATTTACAATTTATCATCAAGTACTTTCGTTTGACTACCTTCTTAATAAACCAATTTTGATGTAGGAAGATTTACAAATTATCTGAACAAGCTCTTATTTGATAAAATGTCTAGGACTCACGTACAAAGGTCATATAAATTTTAATAGAATAAAAAATAACACATTCAATCTTCTTGTAGATCTATTCGATATATAAGTTAAATTAATATTAGTTGTTACAATTAAAAGAGATAAGTTAGTCTTAGGTAAAACTTTAGTCTATATTTCAGATAAATTTAATTCATACATGTTGACATTTATTTTCGAATAATGTAGAATAATACAAGTTGACCTGATTGATAAAATTGGTTCTGATTTACATCGAGTGTTTGCAACATCAATGATTCAATTTTTCCTATTCAACCGAACAGAATTGAGTGACAAAATAACACCCACATATACAAAGACAACGAGACGTTCCGGCTGCCATTAGTAAGCATGAGAAGATGTGCAAATAATAATGTTATTTTTTTTTTTTTTATCTTGTACTCTAAACTTGTTTATAACTAAAGTGAATAATTTAGTTAACGAAATATAATCAGAATCTCTATATATATATATTTCATATTCACTATAAACATTATTTGTGTTATTACTTGATTTGTTCGCAGTTCTGATTAGAATTGGAATTATTCTTTTTTTCTTTTCTTTTTTTTTTGCTAACGATAACTCGTTTGGTGTTTGTCATGCATATACATTTATAGTTATTTGTGATAGTAAATAGATTCTAATACAAATAATAAGAGAAAAGAAAAAAAAGAGATTTGAAGAGAATGTTTTTTTTTCTTCTCGCTTTCTCTTTCTATAATATCCTTCTTTTTCTCTCTTTCTCTTTATATATTTTTTTTTCCTTTTATTTTTTATTGATGAATCGTTAAAGAAAAAATTCTTATACACATATATATATTATAAAGTAAAAAAAAAAACTATTGTTGCATTTTAATTTTTTTGAGATATTTTCTTTTCTTATCAATGTCAACAACAACGACTCATAGAATCGATTATGAAAAGTGTAGGTTTTCATTAGGATAGAATTATTTAGGCGAACATTCTTTTCCCAACCATTTAAAAACAAATAAATAAATAATATTTTTTTTTCTTTTAATTTGTGTATTTAGACACTGAAATCGATTTGGAAACAACGACTTTATCACCTATAACTGCAAATGCATGTCAGAATCAAACAATATCACCGCTAGATGAAATTGAAAATCGAATTAATATTGTTGTACCATATTTGGTGATATTAGGTAAATATTTGATAGATTCAAGGAACAAACGATGTTATTATATTTTGTATAACATTTATGTTTTTCATCTAACATGTTTTATTGCTTTGCTAGGTATCATTGGAAATGGACTTTCAATACTAACATTTTCTCAACGTAAATTACGAAAATTATCCTGTGGTTGTTATTTACTATTACTGGCTATATCGGATACGATTGCTTTATTAGTTATATCTCGGCCATATTTTTTTAAACAATTCGACATTGAACATCATTTAAATTCAAGTATTTTATGTGGTTTACATTTATTTTTAACAAAAATTTTTGATGAATTAACACCATGGTTATTAGTATTTGTTGCTTGTAATCGTCTTGTATTATCACGTTATCCACGTAATCATCATTGTTTTCAAACATCACGTTCAGCATTATGGAGCACATTATTTTTATTAATTATAATTATATTACTTAATGTACATTTATTATTTGGTATTGGTGTTGGTTATTCTCAATCTCAACCATGTAAATCAGTTTGTGGTCCATTAACAAAATCTCCAATATATTTATTTTTTTATAAAAATGTCAGTCCAATAATTGACTTTTTTTTTAGTTTAATTATACCATTTTGTATTGTATTTATTGCAAATATCTTTATATTAGCTAATGTACGACGTGTTAAACGACGTGTTTTACGTGTACGTCGTCGTAAACGAGCTAGTCGAAATGCTCGTTTAAGCGTTGTTTTACTTGCTGATCTTATTACATTTCTTATTGTAAGTTTACCAGTTTTATTAGTTGAATGTATATATCGGTTTACACGTGCTATTGAACCTAATGCACAATTTGATGAATATATATGGGTAGCATGGTTGGTAGCAAGTAAAATATTTTATTTAAATTATTCATTATCATTTTATTTCTATGTATTAACATCATCGTATTTTCGTCATCATTTTCTTCTTGCTATACGTTGTAAAAAATTACATAGTATTTTATTTAAACCAACAAATGGAAAAACAAATCCACAAACTTATCAAACAACAGATTTTATGTTAACGTATCGGCCAAGTCATACGTCAACGTCATCAAAAATAATAGCTAAAGCATATGATTTTAATTTTTCATATGAACCATGTCAACAACAACAAGAAATAGAAACACATATATCAACAACTGTAAATGAATCAATACCATTACGTGAAAATCATCAATCATCTGCTTCATTATCTTATCTATAAAAATAATTTAAAACATATAAAGTTTTGTTAATATGTACTGTCTTTGTTTTGTAGTTGTTTAAAAACAATGAACAAGTGAATAAATGTAAGAAAAACATCAATCCAATCATTTTTCTTGGCTAAACACTGTTCATATTTATGATTAATTGCATTACACCAGTGACTGTATGTCAGAAAAAATAATTCGTATTTTGAATGAAATATTTATGCTGAATATAGATTATTTATAGAAGATTGTTAAGTCTTATCAATCATTTTTGTGGGCAACATTTTTGTTTTTTTTTTAGACTTATATAGTATAATTGACAAGAAACATATCTGTTCTAAGAAGATAATATGTTATGGTTGTTATAGAAGTTAATATGAATTTTAAGATAATAAATCAATAATATATTCTTTCATAAGGTCATATATAATAGTCTTGTCATAGAGATACATAAATATTCATTGATTATTTTGATATATCTGTCGTCAATTATCGCAGACAATATATCTACGTAAGTATCGTGAAATCATTTAGTCATACAAGTTTCGAATCTGCTTGATTAGCATTGTATAAAAAGTTAATTTAGATAATTGCTTTCTTTGAATGAAATACTACAGGAATTATGTTTACATGCACAATAGAGTTGAGAGAGAATTTTTCACTAAAATTCAATGCAAGTGTTTTTTTTGTTTTTTTGACATTTATGAAGATTGGGTGATATGAAAGTAGTGTCAGCTCACACTGCTAATTTTTTCCTTAACATTCTGGAAAAAAAATACTTGTTTCCGCATAAACGAATTCATTTTAGAACGCAATCTTATCTATTATGCATAGAAATTCAATTTACTCTTAAAATGTTATACATTTAATACAACATCATTTATTATGAAAAGAAAGAAATAGTTAATTTGTAGGATAAAAATAAATTGCTAAAGGAAAGATAATTTACTCGATGCGTAAGCACACATATCTGTCAACAGTATAGATTGAAATAATAATAACAACTTGTTTGTTATACCAATAATAGAATAAAAGATAAAACGAAGAATAATCTTTTGGATTGTTTCATCTATTTTTTTTTTGTTAAGTTTATTGACTGAAAGAAGAAAAAGACATGTTTAATTTAAGAATGATTTTTTTTTTCTTTTAGTTTTCATTGAAGTTTTTTTTTTATGAACGTAATAGCTTAAGCAAAACGCTTCAAATGAGCGTAGATTAAAAACAAATATATCATGGTAAGGAAATTAAATTGTAATAACATTAAAACACACTCTTCAATATGTTGTGGATGTTTAATTCCGAAGAACGTGCATTGTAATAATGTTGAAGACATTTTTTTTAATGACAGAAATCTTGAATTATTCGTTTTATGAATTACATTTGAATATTTAGTATTTCTACAAACCAATTTTCTTATTTTCATTAGTCCAAGATAGAACAGTTAGAATTGTTTTGATTGTAATATTAGCAGAAGTCTGATTCAATAAACAACAGATATCCTTGCAGCTACAGGTCTTCCTGCAGCTGGCTAATGATATGGTCTTTTGTCTTCTTATTTCTTATTTCTTCCTACGTCAAACATCTGCTGGTCGATATTGCTAACAATCAATTAAGATGCTTGTTGATAAGTAAGTTGAGATGGTAAAAGCATCATTACACCGAACCTAAAAATTTGTTTAATTGGAATGTCGACTCTCGTTGATTATGCTTATTCAAGAAAACTTAGATTTAGTGTTTATTCCAGTACATTAAGGTTATTTGTTGGTGTATGATAACCTTTTTTTTTTATCATTTCTATGAGCAATTCGTATGTTGATTAGAAGATACGTACTGAACGACCTGTTTCGTTGAGTTATTAAACAAAAGATGCTAATACTTATGCTCATTTATTGTGAATAATTTATAATATGATAATTATTAGTGAGATGAATCAATTCCAAAAAACCCATATTCAGTCGTGCGAGATATATTAAATGTTAGTCAAACAGCGACCTTCTTTTTTTTTATGTGTAGCATCTTAAACATTTAATAACCTTTTAATTATTTATTGTTTCATGTCATGTGTACAAAACAATATATTGATACATTCGGACTATGAGTAACTTATACTGCAAGTAGTTAATGAACGGCAAAAGATATTCAAGATGATTGAAATATAATGATGTTCAATAGTGATAGTTTATGATAATATGGACTTTCTATATTTGAATAGTTTTCTCTAGTCTTATGAAAATAAATTTATTGATAAAACTTGCCCTGATAGTTGTTGCATGAGTCAAACAGTTAATAGATGACTCATATCATCGAATAAAACTTCTCAGATAAAAGAAAAAAATCAGACAGAAGATCTTGTACAGTCAAATGAAATCTTACAAAAAGAAATTGTAATCTAAGAAATCTTACATTTAATCGTATTATAATATTGTCGAAAAATTTTACTGTTACACAAGGCTCCTTTTAATCTTACAAGACGGAAAGATCTTTCAAGAATGTTATAATAACACTTATTGTAAGATTTCCGAGACGACTTTTTTTTTTTTTGTTGTAGCAATTTCGTCTAATCTTACAAAGTCATAAGTACAATCTTGTTAGATTTTATCGTCTGACTGTTTCATCTAAATCAATCATTTTATTTTCGTATGGTACTTGAAGTTGAAAATGGCAGTATGAGTGATGCTAAATATGTGGAGCATTTTTCTCTTTCGGTACTAAGTAAAGTGTCATTATTCATTGAATGTCATATAACCAGGATGAGTGCAGCTACTTTATCTACTTTGACAAGTTCTAAAGTAATTGTTGTTAATCAAGATTTATTAGGTGCTTAGGGAAAAAAAAAGTAGCTTTCGCATCATTAGTATTACTAAATATATCAAACGAAGCAATTTTTACAAATTATTCATTATCAATATCAAAAATTGAGCGAAAAAATGTCATCGACAAATACGTTATACTCAAGGTGAATGAGTTTGAGATCCGGAAATAGTGAAAGATGTTTAATAATTGAAAATTGTAATGCAGAAGAAATTTCTAATATTTTTCTAAGTGAATGTCATGTCACTAAGTCACAATCAGAATATCAAAGCAAAAATCAAAAATAGAAGTTTTATGTATTCACTTAAGCTATTATATCACAATGCTATAGAAAATAGAATAGATGAAATTTTCATAGATCAGACTTGGTGAGAATCTTGATATATATAGAGACATGCAGTAAACAAGAATAATATTCTTCGATATAGAATTCAGTCGATGAATCACTGCGAAATAAACATCAAGGTGAATGTTCAACTATGGTAGAAGAACTACAAATTTGGATTAGTCTACCCAGGGAATAAAAAAATGAAAAAAAATGGCATTTCTGATGATGAAACGGACATTTTCTTTGATGTTTTTCGATTTCATCGATGAAAATGAAATATTTTCATCAAAATAATGCCATGACTTTGAAAAAAATCAAATTCATGCAATGTCACCGATGAAAATAAACATTTTCATCGATGAAATTGAAAAACATGAAAGAAAATGTCCGTTTCATCATCAGAAATGCTATTTTTTTCATACTTTTGATGCAAAATTCATGAAAGTCATGGCATTTTTTTCATTATTTTAGTCCCTGGGTACTATTCAATAGTTCACAAGTTGTAACTTAAATTAATCAACAGATAATAATGAAATTCAAATGAACACATAAGATTTGCTAATTTTCATACAAAAACAGTTCGTACTTGAAAAGATCATAAAATATTTACAAGTAGTTTTGCATCATCAATATATCAATATTAATTTAGTGATTATACTTCACATTACTCTAAGTAAAAAAGAAACATTCAATATTTAATTAGATAAAACTTAAATCGATCATTATGTAATAGATAAGTTTTAAAAAAAAACATTTTGCTTAAGATTTGTGATCTTCTCATTTTTTTTAAATATGATTGTAATTTTCAATAGAAATGAAATAAAATTGAAATACGAGAAAATAAAATACATTTGATGATTTAATTCTAATAATTTGCTTTCATTTTCCTTATGATTTATACAGAAATGCACAAAGAAAAACGATTATGATTCTTATTCCGAATAATTTTATCAAGAATAGCGCGAACAATCTCCTAACTGATTTTTCGATCAAACAATACAATAACGAACAAATAAGGTCTTGTTTCATCGATAATTAGATAACAATGCGTTTTCCGATGTTAGAAGGGATTTAGAAAAAAAAACGATTAGTGTTCACCATACTCTATGAACTCAGATTATATAGTCGAAGATTATATATCTCTTTTTTTTTTGTTTGTGATGAAAATAAATGCGTAATAACTATCAAAAATTACATTAAGAACCGTAATGATAACACGCAAAAAAAAAAAAGAAATGTCCTTTAGTAATAATTATCAATGTCCTTACAATGATCAATCTTATTCATCTTGATATCTTCATATGTAAGATAATGTTGCGTAGCTTTGATTAATCTTACGGATTTCTTTATTTGATTTCGAGTGATTGTTTTTTCTTTTTCATAATATCTAAAACCCAAAGGATAATATTAAATAGAAAGAGAGAAATCAATATATATTTTCATTTATAAAAATGATCAAATAAATATAGATCAAAAAATACTTTATTATAATAAATATATATGAATAATCTGTTGATTTGCAAGCTAATCAAGAAAAATAATTGGTGCTTTATTGGCCTTATAGTGTGTCTTCTGTCCCAATTGATAGATGCTTTCGAACATATGCAAATAATTTGCAAATCTGTTTCTGAAAATGGAAATGAGAAATGAAAGTGATAATATAAAAATTCCATTTGCGTTATGAACCATGTTAATTGATTTTTGATTGCATAGCAAAAGCAAAAAGAAAATTAAGTTTTTTTTTCCCATGAAATTTCTATTCATATTTTTCTATGAAAGAGGGCATCTTAGCTTCGACAAAGATTCTTTTTTTTTTCTGTTTGCATAAAATCAAATCAAAATATTCCTTGTGACAGAGTTTATTTATATATATAT